CTGGTCCTGCTGGAGATCACACTGGATCCAGGGTTGGTAGCTGTGCTGGTCCCACTGGAGGTTGTGCTGGATCCAGTCCTAGAGACTATGCTGGTCCCACCGGAAGTTGTACTGAATCTAGTGCTGGAGGCTATACTGGTCCCACCTGAGGTTTCACTGGATCCAGTGTTCATAGGTGTGCTACTACCTCTGGAGGTTGTGCTGGATCCAGTGTTGACAGGGGTGCTGGTCCCTCCAGAGGTTGTGCTAGATTCAGTATTGGAGGTTGTGCTGGGCCCACTGGAGATCACACTGGATTCAGTGTTGGAGGCTGTACTGGTCCCACCAGATGTGCTGGATCCAGTATTGGCAGCTGTGCTGGTCCCTCCAGAGGTTGTGCTGGATCCAGTACTGGAGGCTGTATTGGTTCCCCTAGAGGCCACACTAGATCCAGTGTTGGAAACTATACTTGTTCCACCAGAGGCTGTGCTGAGTCCAGTGTTGACAAGTGTGCTGGTCCCTCCAGAGATTGTGCTGGATTTAGTGTTAGAGGTTGTAGTGGTCCCACTAGAAGTTATGCTGTGTTCAGTCTTGCCTGATGTGGATGTTTCACCTGCTGCTAATCATAAATGATGACAAACATATAAGGAGCATAAGTACTTTCTGGTTTAATGCTTGTTTAAATTCATTACATGGGTAATTCTATTTGATGCTCACTACAGCCCTATGAACTAGCTACTATTATTATCAACAGCTAAGATGAAGAAACTGAGGCTTAGAAATGTTAATATTTGCCCTTATTTATGCAGATAGTAAGTGGTAGAGCAGGAATTTTTACTTAGGGTACTGGATGTGCACTTTCAGCTACCATGCTAAATTGCCTTCCCCACCCAGCCCCAATACCAGGGTTACATAACCTGGTTCCACTGGTAGTAAGCTTATTCCATATTCTACTATATAAGATCCAATACAGATAAGAAGTATTATAAAGGAATTGCAAAGCCCTGTGAAACTAGTATATATTGATTAATTCATTCTTAAAGTAGTGTTGCTCCCTTCCAAGAAAATATTTTTCAGTGTTATTCAGAAAACATCTACATCGGAATTGTCTGAGTAGCTTGTTAATAATAAAGGCAAACCATTCTAGGTTAAATGAATCAGATTTTGAGATGTGGCCTTTCAACAAGGGGCTGGGTGAGTCTATATGCTTTCAATTTCCAGGGGCTCCTGATGTCTATGGCAGAGGCTGGAGAAGCACAAGTCATATGTAGCTTAAATGTTTTAGATCTCCCAGGATAAAGGGCTGTAAGGTATAGGGAATTTTTTCAACCTTCTTGGAGACTCAGACAGAGTTAAGGTTGTGTCTGTTTTTTGCCCCTCACAACACTGAAGGACAAAGATACTCAATCTCCCCCAGATAACCAAAATTAATTTGTGGCTCCTTTTACCACTAACTGGAACATGGGTGCCTATCAATTCATTCCACACACGTGTATTTTTTCCTTGGGCCTAATTGAACTAACATAGGATTAGAGTTTTAGCTCTATTTTGGGAAGGCCCCCATATCAGCTGTGTGGTACAAATAGGCGTTAAGATCAGAATCATGAATAAAACTAAAAAGAAACTGAGATGACCAAGAGTAAGAATGACACCACAGTCAACGCTTCCCGTTCTTAGTAGTTAAACCCCCAGCCAACCACACAGGTTATTATCATTCTATAGATGCAGAAACTGAGGCACAGAGAAATTAAACAACTCACCCGAAGTACACACACACTGTTACAGTGGAGCCATGATCCATACACAGGCAATCTGAGACCAGAGTCTACAGTTTTAACCACTGTGCTCTGACTGCCTCCTGGGTGATACCTAATTAGACTGAAGTGATTGGGGTAAAACAATGATCCCCACTCTATGGAAGAGCTAGTCCTAGCAGTGGTCAGCATCCCCCAAAGCACCCTGAAGGTTCTCAGATCACCCACTTTTAAAGGAAATCACTTACCAGTTTCTAAAAGTAGGAGATGCAATAGTAACCAATACTTAAGGAGAATGTTTCCTTTCTGCATCTTTATCTGCCTCATTGTTGGAAAGTATGATGCCTGAATCCCAGCTGTGACCAAGATCTAGAAGGCAAAGAACAGGATTCTTGAAAAAGGAGAGTTCAAGATGAAGAGATAAATACTGGAGCTTCCAGGAGCTTGGGTCTCCTAAGTACTTGTTCTCGGGAAGAACTTTGAGCTTGGGTGGAAGACTGGAAGCCTGGGTTCCTTAAGCTTCCTCCATGCAATGTTATTGCCTTTTTCTTTATTATGGAAGAGCTGCAGGGACCTTTATAGCTTCATATGTGTTGGGGAGGAGTTGGGAAGTTGACTTGTTCTTCTGCCAACTATGAGCAGTTAAAAAACAATACTGAGCTTGAGAAGGAATAGACTAGGGTCAAGAGGAAGGTGAGAAAGGAGAATGACATGATCACACTAGGCAGGGCACTGGACTGGCTGGATCAGAGCAGGAAGTCGAACGGTATGAGGAGATCAAATTTGTCAGAGTGGAAGGGACCCACCCTCTAAGGCAGGGATGGGGCCAGAAACCTGTTCTACTGCAAAACTTTGTTTCCTGGTCAAGAAGTTCTGTGTGCCCGCTTTGGTAAGGAAAAAGCCCTAATGAAGTGAGCTAAGTGGGTGGTACCCTACATCTCTGAAGCAAATGGAAATAGGAGACTCAAAAGAGAGCAGTAACTAGGGGTCTGGGCTTCTGGGTTATAGGCAGAAGACAGATGGAGCATTTCTGGGTATGCAGTAGGCACTCAACAATGCACACTGACTAAGAGGGGAAGGGAGATCCAGGGGTTGATGAAGGCATCTTTGGGTCTCTGGGGGCATGAGGGCTGAGGGCATGGGGAGTGTTGAATGTGTAGAAGAAGCCATCTGTCGGACTCATAGCTGGTGAAGGGGTGGTATAGGGTCCCCTTCTGATCCCCCAGCATAGGAATTTCCCTCTTGTTTGTTTTCAGAGAAATCTGTGGGACCTTTTCTGCCCTGGAATCCTTCAGATGCTTCTTCTCATCAGCCTAATGAAACATCTCTCAGTAGGGTATACCACAGATAACATATTAGGAGACTTCAAGTCTGTTGGGGGACGGAGATATACAGTCTGAGTCCTCTAGAAACTTCATGCTGGTCTGGACAAGGATGTAACAGCAAAGGACACACAGTCAATTAAACAAGTAAGACTGAACAGACCCAAATGAGCAGAGAGTTTTGGGAGTTCATGGGGAAGGCATCTTGTGGTCAGGGCCAGGGGGTTGATAGATGGGAGTTTCAGTGCACAGTCTGTGTGACCAAAGTCAGCTGTTTTCATTACTGTTAATGAGAAGCTTTGTGGAAGAAGCAGATAGTTTATCTCAGATAGTTTATTTGTGGGTGAACGAGTATTCCTGACATTTAAGACCTGTTTGAAAGAAGCAGGAGGTAGCTGGAGACATGAAGGAAGTTATGAGTGAGTCTGAGAGTCAGGAGGGGATGGAGTGTGCTGGAAAAGGCTGATGCAGATCTGCCTAGTGGCTGTGAGGCTGAAGCAGTTCCTGAGGCTGAAGTGTGAGGAACCATTCAATGACTGGCTGGGCTTTAGACTCCTAGCAATTGCATTTTATGGCTGACAGGCCAAAAGCACTCTAAGAAATCCTTTTTTTCTTTTTCCCTCTAGAATTATTTGGAGGCAGAGGTCCTGAATTCAAGTCCAGATTCCACCTTCTAGACATAATCCTAAAATTTTTTTGCATGCATACTTATCAGAGACTATATGTAATTAGTATCTTTACTGTCCTTCAAAACAGCACAAGAACCTTGGAACTTTAATAATTACTACCCAATTCCCAACTCATACCCTAATCTTTTTTTTTTTTT